AAGAAGCCTTCGGATCAGCCTTGGTTTGGGTTTCGCTGCCGAGAGGCCGCTTGGAGAAGGTACAAAAGGCGTCCTGCTATCTGTAACAGGAGCCTCCACAGGCAAGCCTGTCGACAAATGGAGGAATCCCAAAACTAGACTATCTTTAAACGAGTGGCTGACTCAAAAAGGTAAATTGACATCAGATAGAATGGGTTCTAAAGCGTGGTGGTCCATGGTCAAGGACCGACGAAGATATTATTCACCTGATGAAATTTTCCACCTCAAAATTGACAGTGCAGGACTGTCTCTACTGACAGTCAAGAAATGCTGACGTCTTTCCTGAATAGATGCAAGTCCCTTATCTATAATAATAATAATAATAATAATAATAATAATAATAATAATAATAAAAATAATACCTTTATTTTCTACAAGCACGTGTATAAGGTATACAGGGCTAGTTGACATCAATAACATACTGCTATATAGAAAGCCCCTTGTTATGCAGAGCATTTAGGGCAAATTAGGTCAATTTTGTCCCAGGATGTGACCCACACCTGTCCACTAACACCCAAGTACCCATTTTACTGATGGGTGAACATAAACAACAGGTGTTAGGAAACGCGCCAATGTTTCCGCCCTTGCCTGGAATCGAACCCGAATCAGCAAGAACTGTGTCAAAGCTGTCGGAGGTGACAATAAGGCAGGATGAAGTTTATCTCTTTAAATCCCTGAATCAAGATAAAGCTGTCGGGCCCGAATAAGGTGAACCCAAGAATGCTGAGTAGGTGTGCAGATCAGCTAGCATCACCTCTTAACTCGAATCTATCAGCAGTGTAAATGTCTACCAGTGTAAATGTGGAAAGAGGCAAATGTACTCCCTGTTCACAAAAAGCAGAGCAAAGCCGAAATCAGCAACTGCAGCTCAGTTGCCACTCTTGTCAATCACTAACAAAATTCTCGAGGCAATAATCACACGGCAGATGACAGTACTTTTTGACTACCAAACTCTTCTTTTGTGACCCTCAATTTGACTTTAGAAAAAGTCACTGCTGCTGATCTGTTAAACCTCTCTAATACTATTTGGCATCAGTTGCTGGATGAATGCAAGATCAGCTGTGTAGTAACAATGGACATTGCTGGTGCTTTCGACCAGGAACTCTTGGCAAAACTACAAGCAATAGGAGTTTTTGCACTTTCACCTCCTTAGTGATTACTTTTAAAGGTAGATCTCTAAGAGTAGCTATCGGTGGGAGTCAACAAGACAATCCGTGCCAGTGTTCCATGGAGAAGTGTGCTTGGGCCATTGTTATGGATGTTTACTTCAATGACCTTCAGTTCATCCTGAATCCCATGTCTATACCGATGACTGTACTCTGACATTTACTTATCCAAGAGAGGAAATGCCAGTTTCTCTCAGCCACATCGATCACCAACTTTCAGCTATATCAACCTGAGAAAAACATGACAGGTTACATTCCCCCCTTAGAAAACGCAAATTTTGATGATCATAAATAGAATAATTTTAACACCGGAGCAAAAGTAAGAATGAATGAATGAATGGAAGTGTGAATATCCTGTGGGTAAAATTTGATTCCAGAATGTCTAAGAAGAATCACATGGTAAATCTTTGCAAGGCAGCCAAGACGATAATAGCACTAAGGCTTATCTTATATCTGCTCAACAGTAGAGGCTGTAAAACTCTGTAAGAGGCACAAGTATACTCACACCTGGAATATGCACGATTTTCCTGGTTTGTCAGACCTCATCTCATTTACGACTTCAGGACAGAATAGAGAACCGAGCAAGATGACCTCTCTCGTTAGGACCCGCTCTAGTTCGATCTGTCATTTTAAAAGAGCCTTCAAAATTGGAAAGATGTGGGTGGCTTTACTGTTATGTACAAGGTAAATACTGTCAAGGTACCACACTTGGCTCCACTTCGCTGACGGGGAGAAGACAGCTTCTACACAACAAGACGGTCAACAAACGGCAGCTACACTGTGGCTGTACCCCTCTCAAGAACATCACTTCATCCGAGATCATTCATTCTTAAAATGACTTGAATCTGAAACATGTTCGTACAGCATAACAACATCGATGACATAGTCAGTTGGCCAAATGAAATCGCCGGTTCACAGCTGACTCCAACTTCACCCTGTTCCCTGTTTCATAACAATATAAACGCTTTCAAATGACCTAAGGTAGGTAATAACTCTTGGCTTGTAAATAAAATTTGGAGCTCGCAACATAATGCTGTAAAAACGCTTGTGTAATTAAAAAACAAAACATGTATGAACCACGGTTCAAGTCTTCCGTTTATTCATATCCGTGTATGTTTGTTCATGTGTATATTATTATCTCTCTTATATACATTATCTTCTTGAATATAAACTTAGTCATCGCCTCACCCTCTCCCTACTCTCTCCCTTCCCATCCGTTCCCTACTCTCCCTTCCCATCCGTTCCCTACTCTCCCTTCCCGTCCGTTCCCTACTCTTCCTTCCCGTCCGTTCTCCTCCCTCCTTTCCATCTTCTCCCTCCCTCTTTCCCCTTTCTTTCCTCTTCCTGTCTTCCATCCACCCCCCTTCCTCATCCATTTATTTCTTTTCATTTTCCTCCTCTTCGTCTTTTTTCTTCTTCCTCCTCCTCCTTCTGGTCTTCTCTTCGTAAAAGGATCACAAGAACGAGAAAATGTCCGGCCAAATCCCTTTAAGTCTGTTCCTCTTTCTCTTCTCTTTGGAGCTGTCATCATCATCATTTTTCTGTCTCTCAGGCACATCCAAAACGCCAGAGAACACACAAACGTGAATTTTTTATTTTTAATAATTATCTCCTTTTCTTCCGTGTACCTTTATCCTCATCCTGGGATTGTTTTCTTTAGCATCTTCTGTTCTATAAGTCAATTACAAGTTTAAAGTCATGAAGTCAAAGCTCAGAAGAGATGCAGTGTGTGTGTGTGTGTACTTACCTATGTATGGTTACAGGGGTCAATTCACAGCTTCTGGCCCCGTGGTGAGAGAGAGAGAGAGAGAGAGAGAGAGAGAGAGAGAGAGATTTAAAATATTTGAATGATATATGGATCATATGTTTACATTTAAGCGAGTATACATTATGTTGAGAAATTTCCATATGCATGTAGTAATACTGCAAAAGGTGTGGAAACTCTTAATTTAAGGAGTGGAACTCCTAGAACTCTTCAGACGCCCATTTGCAACAGGCGTTCCCTTTCTGAACTACAACACTGAGGCACTGGAAGAGAGGTGTGACAGCCCTCAGGTCTATGGTGATTTTGATGTGCCTCGAACCCAGCTCTCTAAAGAAAAGCCGTGGCATTCTTTCACCATGGCCCATAGCTCACTAAACTTGTAGGGACGAAGTGGTACTGGTAAGCCAGGTCCCTACACTGGCTGAGCTTGTGATTTTCCTTGTGATCAGCAGCACCACTCTGCTGACCAGCACTAAATGGGATGTAGGTGTTGGCTAGATACAGAAGTATAGCCCCACACCAACAGTCTATCGTTCTTCCAGTGATTTAATGTGATGCCAATCAGCATGGCTCGCGGACATGTCTGGGTTACTGGGTGGTAAAGCTGGAGTTTCTCGGCTGGGCACTGGGCTGTAGCAAGGATTCTCTTCATCTTCTTGACTTCATTATGGCTAACATAATATACATACATAATTACTGTGTAATGATTTTAATATATATGTAATCACTTTAATACATACTGCGGCAGTCGTAGTATTGTTTAAGATTACTTTTTTTTTTTTGGTTCTACTGATAATTATACTCGTCGTTGAGGCTGGTATCCAACTTGGTGAAAAATGTAACTAGTCTCATAGTATATCCTTCCTCTGATGTAGCTGGCGCTAGGAGGAAACATGACCAGTGATTTTACTGGTCACTTGGCGTTATGTGCCTTGGTGGTAGTGGTGTACTCACTTAATTTTGGTTGCAGGGGTCGAGACTCGGCTCCTGACCCTGCCTCTTCACCGAGTGCTACTAGGTCCTCTCTCTCTCTCTCTCTCCCTGCTCCATGAGCTTTATCATACCTCATCTTAAAGATATGTATGGTTCCTGCCTCCACTTGCTAGGCTATTCCACTTCCTGACTACTCTATGAGTGAAGAAATACTTCCTAACATCCCTTTGACTCATCTGGGTCTTCAACTTCCAGTTATGGCCCCTTGTTTCTGTGTCCCTTCTCTGGAACATTCTGTCTCTATCCACCTTGTTTATTCCACGCAGTATTTTGTATGTCGTTATCATGTCTCCCCTAACCCTCCTGTCCTCCAGTGTCGTCAGGCCAATTTTCCTTAACCTTTCTTCGTAGGACATTCCCCTTAGCTCTGGAACTAACCTTGTTGCAAACCTTTGCACTTTCTCTAATTTCTTGACGTGCTTGATCATTCCTTGAACAATTCCTTACTAAGGTATCGGAACGCTGTTCTCAGGTTTGCCAGGCGCCCATATGCTGCAGCAGTTATCTGGTTGATGTGTGCTTCCGGAGACGTGTTTGGTGTTATGGTCACCCCAAGATCTTTCTCCTTGAGCGTGGTTAGCAGTCTTTGGCCACCTAGCCTGTACTCTGCGCGTGTGTGTGTGTGGGGGGGGGGGGAGGGTTTACCACACTAACATTACGTCACACACTAACACCCAGTACATTGTGACCCGGTGGCCTGGTGGCTAAAGCTCTCGCTTCACACACAGGGGGCCCGGGTTCGATTCCCGGCGAGTGGAAACATTTCGACGCGTTTCCTTACATCTGTTATCCTGTTCACCTAGCAGCAAATAGGTACCTGGGTGTTAGTTGACTGGTGTGGGTCGCATCCTGGGGGACAAGATTGAGGAAATAAGTTAGACAGTCCTCGATGATTCACTGACACCCTCCGGGGTTAAAAATCCGAAGAAATCTTATCTTAATACACACATACAGATAGGTGAGTATACCCCCCTCCCCCACAGATACAGGCACACACCCTGCAACCACAAGTAGGTGACTACACACACACACACAACAACACAAACACCTAACTCTCGACACTGAGTGTAAGTCTCTGCTGGCTTGGGTCTCTGCTGAATAATTGAGGCTAACACAATTAATCCATTTGTAAATTGTTTTAGGTAAGTCTCTAATGCCAGAGTTTTATCCTGGATTAACTATTTTATGGTATTAAATTTACGTACGCTTGTATCCCTCTCTTTTTTTAACAGAGTTAACATTGTTTATTTGACCTGTTAAATTTATTTTAGTTGTTTTATGTATTTAGGCATTCGTTCATTTTGGAGTATTTCTTATTCGTATGTGTGTCTAATTATCCGTGTGTGATTATCTACGAGTACCTTTCTTGTAACCATGATTCGCGAAATCGTAACAAGTACATCACAGTTAGTGTGGGATTCGTCTGTAAAAACCCGCATTTGTGGTCCAGTCGGGGGCCCATGCTAACCTGTCTGTGATGTATAGATATACACCTGGTTTGAAGAGTCTTGTTAGGCTGGCACGAATCGGTTGTTAGCACACTGGTCTGCAAGTTTTAGGACTCGCCTGCCATGGGTTCAATCCCCGCAAGTCCCGCTATTTGTATTATTTGTAGTTACAGAATTGTCTGTGTGTCTCGTCTTCAGTGAATGTATTTTCAATATTTTTACTTTTTTGTGCTATCTTTATCACGCTACGTAACTACTTCTGGATACTCTGTTATATAGCTACTTCTATATACTACGTTATGTACCTACTTCTATATACTACTCTCAGTAGTAGTTTACCTGGAGAGAGTTTCGGGGGTCAACGCCCCCGCGGCCCGGTCTGTGACCAGGCCTCCTGGTGGATCAGCGCCTGATCAACCAGGCTGTTGCTGCTGGCTGCACGCAAGCCAACGTACGAGCCACAGCCCGGCTGATCAGGAACTGACTTTAGGTGCTTGTCCAGTGCCAGCTTGAAGACTGCCAGGGGTCTGTTGGTAATCCCCCTTATGTGTGCTGGGAGGCAGTTGAACAGTCTCGGGCCCCTGACACTTATTGTATGGTCTCTTAACGTGCTAGTGACACCCCTGCTTTTCATTGGGGGGATGGTGCATCGTCTGCCAAGTCTTTTGCTTTCGTAGTGAGTGATTTTCGTGTGCAAGTTCGGTACTAGTCCCTCTAGGATTTTCCAGGTGTATATAATCATGTATCTCTCCCTCCTGCGTTCCAGGGAATACAGGTTTAGAAACCTCAAGTGCTCCCAGTAATTGAGGTGTTTTATCTCCGTTATGCGCGCCGTGAAAGTTCTCTGTACATTTTCTAGGTCGGCAATTTCACCTGCCTTGAAAGGTGCTGTTAGAGTGCAGCAATATTCCAGCCTAGATAGAACAAGTGACCTGAAGAGTGTCATCATGGGCTTGGCCTCCCTAGTTTTGAAGGTTCTCATTATCCATCCTGTCATTTTTCTAGCAGATGCGATTGATACAATGTTATGGTCCTTGAAGGTGAGATCCTCCGACATAATCACTCCCAGGTCTTTGACGTTGGTGTTTCGCTCTATTTTGTGGCCAGAATTGTTTTGTACTCTGATGAAGATTTAATTTCCTCATGTTTACCATATCTGAGTAATTGAAATTTCTCATCGTTGAACTTCATATTGTTTTCTGCAGCCCACTGAAAGATTTGGTTGATGTCCGCCTGGAGCCTTGCAGTGTCTGCAATGGAAGACACTGTCATGCAGATTCGGGTGTCATCTGCAAAGGAAGACACGGTGCTGTGGCTGACATCCTTGTCTATGTCGGATAAGGATGTCAGCCACAGCAGTAACCAGTTACCAGTAACCAGTGTACCAGTAGATGACTCACTACCAACCGTCTCTGCCTGAGTCACTGTCTGTATTCATATTGTGCTGACCACAGCAGTATTCAAAAACCCCCTCACATATGGGTACTGTGGGCGGCCAGTCAGTGTTACGAGAGTGAGCAAGGAGACAAGGTTACGGCTGTTTGGGCGCTCCCCACATTATCCGTAATTATACGTACTACCAGCCTACATGAGTATTACTTTACCCTATCCACGTGTTCGAACTCCCACATGATAAATGGTGGCACCGGTGTGGAGCGTGGATTTAAGTTTTTACGGGTAATTCAAGACGTTAGAAGACTGTTTGTGAGTAGCCGGCAGGGTCAAAGGTGAACCGTCTCACCCACCAGCTACTCGCTCCCCTCACAACCTCCACCTCCAGCCTGCAAGCCTGTTGCAGCCGTTTTTTCAAGCTTCCTGGCTTAGTTCGTGTGCTAATTGATTCAATCTCCGAGGGGTTGACCCGGGTTTTGCAATTAAGCCAGTCAGTAAGCCAGACTGTGGAAGTGAACGCCAGTCAGTCTTACGAGAGAGAGCAGAGAGGCAGGCCGGCTGTTTGGGCGCTACCCACATTATCCGTAATTATACGTACTACCAGCCTACGTGAGTATTTATTTATTTATTTATTTATTTATTTATTATAAATTTGTGCACACATACAGAGGTACAAAAAAATACAGATAAGAGCAGTATGCCAAAGCCACTTATACTATGCATAGCATTACGGGCTGGCTTAAACTTAACTTAAGATTAATTAAGCAATGATGAAGTCAGTGATAAAACATTAATGTAAACAGATTACTATAAAGCACAAGTGAGTATTACAAAGACAGGTCATATGAAGGATTCTGTTAGGTAGTGTATTTAAAAAATAATAAAGTTAGATTGGGTTTTAGGTTTAACATTTATGTGATATAATTGTGAGAAACATTTAAGATATACAATTTATAAGGTTCAGTTATTCAGTATTTATTTGGTTTTGGGTGAGTAAGTGATCTTTGAGTAGAGACTTGAATTTATAAACAGGTAGTGTTTCTTTTATATTTACAGGTAATGAATTCCAGATTTTAGGGCCTTTTATGTGCATTGAGTTTTTGCATAGTGTGAGATGAACACGAGGAACATCAAAGAGTGATCTGTGCCTTGTGTTATGGTCATGTGTTCTGTTGAGGTTGGCAAGGAGATGTTTGAGGGGAGGGTTAATATCAGAGTTAAGTGTTCTATGTATGTAATAGGTGCAGTAATAAGTATGGATGTTTTGTATGGTGAGTAGGTTTAGTGTATTGAATATTGGTGGAGTGTGCTGCCTGTAGTGAGAATTTGTTATCATTCTAACTGCAGCCTTTTGTTGGGTAATTAGTGGTCTGAGATGGTTAACTGTTGTTGAGCCCCATGCACAAATTCCATAGGTGAGATAGGGGTAAATAAGAGAGTGATATAGGGCCAGGAGGGCTGACTGTGGAACATAGTACCGTATCTTTCGATAGTATGCCTACAGTTTTGGAAATTTTCTTAGAAATTTGTTGTATATGTGTATGAAATTTGAGTCTATTATCAAGGTGGATTCCTAAGAATTTTCCCTCTGTTAGCTTTGTGATAGGTGATCCGTTTATCATTATGTTAAGAGGGACATCTGTAGCTCTGTTACCAAACTGAATGAAGTAGGTTTTGTCAATGTTTAGTGTAAGTTTGTTAGTCCTCATCCAGGCAGATATTTTCTGTAATTCGGTATTTACAGTATTGGCTAGTGTGACTGGGCTCGGGTGAGAGAAGACGTATGTAGTGTCATCTGCAAATAGTGTGGGTTTGAGTAATTGCGAAGCATTTGGAAGGTCATTTATGTATAGGAGAAAGAGAAGAGGGCCAAGGACACTTCCTGTGGGACACCAACTGTAATTGGTTGCGCAGAAGAGTTTGCCCCATTTGCGTACACATATTGGCTTCTGTTGCTGAGGTATGACTTGAGGTAATTGAGGGAGTGCCCTCTTATACCATAGTGTGACAATTTTACGTGGAGCAAGTCATGGTCAACTGTATCAAAAGCTTTACGTAAGTCAATGAAGATCCCCAGTGGGACTTCTTTTTTCTCTATTGCAGTGTATATATGTTCTAGCATGTGTATAATAGCATCATTAGTATTTTTATTAGGCCTGAATCCAAATTGGCAGGGGTTGAGTATGTTTTGGGAGATAAGGTAGGAGTAGATTCGTTTATGAATTAGTTTTTCAAAGATTTTTGAGAGAGGGTGTAAGTTGGATACTGGCCTATAGTTATTCAACTCTGTTTGGTCTCCTCCTTTGTGGATCGGGGTGACCTTGCTATTTTGAGTACTGTAGGGAAGGTGGAGGATTCAATGGATTTGTTAAAGAGTGTTGCAATGATTGGAGATAGCACTTGTGACACTTTTTTATATATAAAGGGTGGTAAGGTACTTAAATCTCCTGCCTTGTTTTTTAGTGCATTGATAATAAGGGAGACTTCGTATGGGTTAGTCGGAGCTAGGAACAGTGTGTTCGGGTAGTTGCCGGTGAGGTAGTTATTTGGTGGGGTATCTGAGCTTGGGATTTTATGGGCAAGGTTTTGTCCTATAGTGGAGAAGAAATCATTGAGTCTGTTTGCTGTTTCTGTTGGTGGGAGTTGGGGTTCATCTGATTTTGCTAATTTTATTTCGCTATTTCGTGATATCTTTTTTGTTCCAGAATTTCAGATAGTGTTTTCCAGGTCTTTTTTATATCACCTCGTAAGTTGGATAATCTGTTCTCATAATACAATTTTTTTGCCCTTCTTATCAGGCTGGTTAGGATTGACGAGTAACGTTTTGTTTGGTCTCTGGTTATGTGACCCATTCTGTAGATTGCGCCTCATAATACTACAGGAATTGTTGTTGTTAAGAAGAAGTTGTAGTATACAAAGCTTAGGGTTACGTTGTTCGGCTGGCAGCGGGGTGTTGCTTTCGGTTTGTGTGCAGTCTTCCTTTGATCTCTCTTTTTTTCGATTTGTAGGTTTCACTGTTGGTAATCTTTTGTCATTCTGGGTGCTACGTTGGGTAGTGCAGTTTTGCTTGTAACTAGGTCATCATAGGAGCATTTGTAGCTCTGGTAGTTGGAGAAAAATACGGAGCTTGGAAGTCGCTGCTGCCGCTGCCGTTGTATTCGAACTCCCACATGATACTACGTCATGTGCCTACTTCTATATACTACGTCATGTACCTACTTCTATATACTACGTCATGTACCTACTTCTATATACTACGTCATGTACCTACTTCTATATACTATGTCATGTACCTACTTCTATATACTACGTCATGTACCTACTTCTATATACTACGTCATGTACCTACTTCTATATACTACGTCATGTACCTACTTCTATATACTACGTCATGTACCTACTTCTATATACTACGTCATGTACCTACTTCTATATACTACGTCATGTACCTACTTCTATATACTACGTCATGTACCTACTTCTATATACTACGTCATGTACCTACTTCTATATACTACGTCATGTACCTACTTCTATATACTACGTCATGTACCTACTTCTATATACTACGTCATGTACCTACTTCTATATACTACGTCATGTATCTTCTTCTAAATACTTCACTATGCTTTTTCTTCTATATACTACGCTTTTATACCTACCTCAGTCTAAGATTATTCTGAATCACTTTCACTTTATTAGTAAGGAAGTGCTTGTATTTGACAAACTATATCTGAAGAACTCCATATACGACTATATAACATTTTCTGAAGAAATACCTGCAGAAATAGTTTAGTAATCAAATCACCTAAAAATACTCTATGTAACAATATCAGAAATTTTCCGTATAATACTATCACTGACAAAGTATCCCTATACAATTATTTGTATTATTTGTATTTGCCAGACGAGCATTGCAGAGGTTATTCGTTTGATGTGAGCCTCTGGTGATATACCAGGCACTATCGTCACCCACGTATCTTTCTCTTTGAGGTATGTAGCCTCTGTTCACCGTGTCTATATTCTTCCCTAATCTTCGTGTCTATGATCCTTCCCTAATCTTCGCAACCTTGTATTTGCTGCGATTGAATTCAAGGACTGAGATAAGGCTGGAGTTGATGTGTGTATCGCCAAAGGGTCACAGGGGTCTGACGAGGGTGGGGAGCTAGTGTTAGTACTGGGAAGTTGGGGGCAAAAGTTGTGCCAGCTAGGATTGTGGACAGGTGGTGTGCCATCTAGCTCTGTTGGGGTAAGTAAGTAAGTAAGTAAATTTATTCAGGTATACACAATACAGTTACATAGAATTATCATACATAGCAGCATATGTGTAGAGAACCTAGGATAACCCAAAAAAGGATCCACCCGGCTTTATTGCTAACAGTTGTTCCCATTTCTCTTTACGTAGGAAACCTTGTTTCCAATTCCTTCCCAGTTTTGGGAAATATATTTGTCCTAGTTTCGCAGGCAGCAGGACTCATACGGCATACTATCATCGACCTAAACTAGACAAGGATTCTCCCCAAGACCCCGGAGGGTTAGCCACCCAGGATAACCCAAGAAAGTCAGTGCGTCATCGAGGACTGTCTAACTTATTTCCATTGGGGTCCTTAATCTTGTCCCCCAGGATGCGACCCACACCAGTCGACTAACACCCAGGTACCTATTTGCTGCTAGGTGAACAGGACAACAGGTGTAAGGAAACGTGTCGAAATGTTTCCACCCGCCGGGAATCGAACCCGGGCCCTCCGTGTGTGAAGCGGGAGCTTTAGCCACCAGGCCACCGGTATGGCGTAATATCATCCCTCCGTTTACTGAACAAGGATTCTTTCCAGGACATCGAGACAGGACTCAAAACGGCGTAATATCGTCTCTGAACTGGACAAGGATTTTTTTCTCTGGACATCGCGAGGCAGGACTCAATACGGCGTTAGTTGTCAGTGACCCTGGTAATCCTCCCAAAACAATATAATACGGCGTATGTTGTGGTGGCCCTGTAAACCCCAAGAACAACAGGAAGTAAGTGTCATTTTGTATTTTTGTAAATTATATGGAATTTAACCTAGGATATTTAAATAAAATGAGGGTAACTTATTTCTACCTAAGTAGTTAACATATATGATTAAATTTTTACAATGGTTGTGATGGAACAAAGGTGCTTCAGAGAAGGTACACTTCAGATTTATCTTTAGATATTATTTGTTCGCATTTTTAACCCGGAATGTTAGCCACCCAGGAGGACTGTCTGTCTTAATTCCACTGTGGTCCTTCAATCTTGTCCCGCAGGATTCCACCCACACCAGTCGACTAACACCCAGGTACCTTCTTACTGCTAGGTGAACAGGGGCAGCAGGTGTAAGGAAACATGCCCACCGTTTCCACTCATGGACATTCAGTATGCGAGGAGAGTGCACTTCCAGTCGAGCAACGAGACACCATAATTATTCCACCCAACGTGGGGCTTGAACCCAAGACTCCATGCTCTACCAATAATCTCATGCTCTGTCGACTGAGCTAGCCATCAACAAGAGTCATAGGGAGGGTTATTGAGGTACCTTATTTTCTCTCTCTTGCCAGAGTTAAAATTATAATAGTTAAGGCATTACAATGGAACCTCACTGGAAATACGTTACAGCTTGACTAATTTTGGGGTTATCCTAGGTAATTAACACTTGTGTTATTATGTAAAACAATTATAATTATCCAAAAGATGTGAAATGGTACAAAAATAAACAAACTTGCTCAGGTTATACCATTCTACATGTCCCTAGTAAAGTAGTTTAGTTTATTTGTCCATGGCATTACCAAAGTTTTGTGTTGAATTTTTTTTCTGTTGTTGCTACAAGAAAAGTCTGTAATCATGCAGTGCATTTGTAACTAATTTATTGTGAGTTTAATCTTAAATTTGCCTGAAATGCACTGCATAACTACTACTGCAGTTGTAGTGCCTTCAGCTCACAACCAGAAAACCCGGGTACAATCCTGGAAAAGATAAAACATGTAAGCAAGACTCCTTGCACCAGCTGCCCCAGTTCAATTAGTAGTAATAGCTACCTGGTTATTACCTGATTGTTGTTGGTATATTTCTGGGGTAGAGGATGAAAGAACCCCAGTAGAAATAAACCACACTGTTTGTCTTCTCGAGTGATGTGTTAATAGCCCTTTTGAGTTACTATTTTTTCTGCCCTTTCCTCAAGGTCAAATATGTTATTAATCTATAATTTTCAGAATTATTTGGCTATTTCTCTAAGTAATTTTTTTTTTATTTTGACCATGAACAGTTCACTAAATAAATTCAAAAAGATCATACGTACTTAAATGGTATACAATAACAACGAGTTGATGAATAAGATATGTGCAAGGACCCAATGGAAATAAGTCACTCTGTCTGACTTTTTTTGGGATATCCTAGGTTCTCTACATATATGCTTCTATGTATAATAATCTATGTAACTGTATTTGTGTATACCTGAATAAACTTACTTACATGACTAGGAATCTTCATTAATGGGACATTTGCCTGCACTTTAGGCTTCATCAGTTGAATACAGAGATGAAACATACTCCTGGAGATGTCAGTCATGATGATAGTAGTAGACGAAGTAGATAAGCAGTTCGATGTAATCAGTCCATCACCTTAAGACTAAGAGACTGATTATCTTGCACCAGGGGTGATAGACTGATTACATCAAACCGTATTAGATAATAATTTAAATAATTTCTTGTATGAACACAAACATATCATCGTCATAAATTCCAGATTTTGCCATCCAGGTTGCCTCCAGCAGTACAGAACAACTCAGGTTTCAATTGGATTAAAAACCTCACAACGATGAAACTACCTTTTGTTGGTGGTGTAGTTGCTGGATGTCTGTCCACGATGGGATGGATCACTTTTTCAAAGCTGAGCTACAGCAGTTCTGAGACCTCTACCAAGATGATCCACATTTTGCCGACTTGTCAAAAGCACCGATTAAAATTCGTTCTTCTGAAGGGTTTAGTCATTATCCAGGTATTTAACTGTTTAATTTATTCATTAACATTACGAATTAGCAGTATATAAAGAGGATTTTTAGTTCCAGACCATTTGTTGAAAAATAAATTAATGAATCTTTTGCCAAAAATACAACTAACCCTTAATTAATAACTATAGTGATATTTTCTTGTGCGTGTGCTTTTTTTGCATTAAACCAACCTTTTCGGTCAGAGTACTTATTAAATCTAACAACTTCATTTCATCAAACGAAAACTCAGAAATAAAATTTAAGTTTTTGTGGCACAGCCATTAAAAAGAATCATGATGATTTTATAAATTGTTTCAGAGGAGAACACTAGAGTTGAACAAATCCTAAGATTCGGTTGGCCCATTGGTGGACGCATTAAGAGGAAACTTAAGAATCATGTACTTGAGTATGACTGCACTAACAAAATACCTGTGTGGGTAGCAGAACACCTCACTCAAGAATCTCTTAAGGTGATGTTGGAGTGTGAGCAGTGTAACATTTATGAAGGGATTCAGAGAAAACTGGGTAGCTGGGCTGAGTCCTGGAGGTATGAAATAGGGTGCCTGTGCTCTAAAGAGGGGTGGATATATGTTGCAGTTTTTGAACTGGAATGTAGGTGTGCCTCTGGCAAGACAGTGATGATAGTGAGTGATGATGAACGTGTTTCTTTTTTTTTGGGTCACCCTGCCTTGGTGGGAAATAGCTGATGTATTAATAAAAAAATTATGAAAGATGGATAAATGCCAATGCAGTACAATATTTTTAAATGCAGCCAATAGTGTATATTGATCATATTAAGTGAATGGTAAGAAGGAAAGTACAGTATTTCCCCACAAGACACATAAGTTATGCTCTTAAAAATTGGCTCCAACAGTAGAAATACATATATGATACAAGGTGAATAACATAGAAACAATAGGGTCACATTCCACATGTTGCCCTTCAAGAGATGATTCTTGATCTTAGGAATTGAAGCTACCCTCCCATTACTCTGATCACACCTATTACCTTCTATTCCTCAGATGCTGTATGAACCCTTTAAGTTTAGCTCTTCCCCATGAATATAAGAATAATCCACACACAGTTAGCCTCTCCCTCCTCCCATTTTTCAAGTACAGTGGTACCTTGACTTATAAGTGCCTCAACTTATGAGTTTTCCGAGTTACGAGCTGTCGCTTGGTTGATTTTTTGCTTTGAGTTGCAAGCCAAAATCTGAGTTACGTGTGAGCCTCAGATATGCTGCCACTAGTTGGCGCAGCAAACACCACAACATCCACCCAGCATCCCGCATCTCACTTGTTCAGTGCATGTGGTTACCTCGCCGTGGAAGCATCTCTCTTGTGTTGTGCATGCGTTTTGTACTTTTTGTGCAGTTATTTTACCAAATTTCTTTATTCTAACCATCGTGATACCTGGAGTATATGTGGAAAGAGTTCCGGGGGTCAATGCCCCCACAGCCCGGTCTGTGAGCAGGCCACATGGTGGATCAGGGCCTGATCAACCAGGCTCAGAATGCCTCAGAATTTTTAGCAGTTAAGTTCAGCGATCAAGTGTAGCATTAAGAGTGTAGCAAGTAAGTTAAGCGATTAAGTGATAGTGTTTATGATGAACGAATGCAACCGAAAAAGCACAAAACGAAACGAACTCCTCCAATCTCCTCTGCTTATTTTTTCTATCCTCCACCTCTGCCAGCATCTTCTGTTAGCCCAAGCTGTCTGATCTCCAAGCTAAATACACTTTATAAAACCAATTTATTTCTTTACATTCTCTTTTATTATGTTTTATATCTTTATGCAATATTTCTTATTTATAAATACATTTTCTTATTTAAAAACTCATAACAAAAAAATTTGGGTGTTTTTTTGGGGGGCTGGAATTGATTAATGTCATTTCATCTAATTTTGATGAGGAAAATTGATTTGATATACGAGCAGATTGAGTTACGAGCTTAGTCTGGAGTTTACCTGGAGAGAGTTCCGGGGGTCAACGCCCCCGCGGCCTGGTCTGTGACCAGGCCTCCTGGTGGATCAGAGCCTGATCAACCAGGCTGTTACTGTTGGCTGCATGCAAACCAACGTACGAGCCACAGCCCGGCTGGTCAGGAACCGACTTTAGGTGCTTGTCCAGTGCCAACTTGAAGACTGCCAGGGGTCTGTTGGTAATCCCCCTTATGTATGCTGGGAGGCAGTTGAACAGTCTCGGGCCCCTGACACTTATTGTATGGTCTCTTAACGTGCTAGTGACACCCCTGCTTTTCATTGGGGGGATGTTGTATCGTCTGCCAAGTCTTTTGCTTTCGTAGTGAGTGATTTTCGTGTGCAAGTTCGGTACTAGTCCCTCTTGGATTTTCCGGGTGTATATAATCATGTATCTCTCCTGCCTGTTTCCCAGGGAATACAGGTTCAGGAACCTCAAGCGCTCCAGTAATTGAGGTGTTTTATCTCCGTTATTTCAAAGCCGTGAAGGTTCTCTGTAATTTTCTAGGTCAGCAATTTCACCTGCCTTGAAAGGGCTGTTAATGTGCAGCAATATTCCAGCCTAGATAGAACAAGTGAACTGAAGAGTGTCATCATGGGCTTGGCATCCCTAGTTTTGAAGGTTTCATTATCCATCCTTCATTTTTCTAGCAGATGCGATGATACAATGTTATGGGCCTTGAAGGTGAGATCCTCCGACATGATCAAATCCCAGGTCTTTGACGTTGGTGTTTCGCTCTATTTTGTGGCTAGAATTTGTTTGTACTCTGATGAAGATTTAATTTCCTCGTGTTTGCCATAAACTGAGTAATTGAAATTTCTCATCGTTAAACTTCATATTGTTTTCTGCAGCCCACTGAAAGATTTGGTTGATGTCTGCCTGGAGCCTTGCAGTGTCTGCCATGGAAGACACTGTCATGCAGATTCGGGTGTCATCTGCAAAGGAAGAACGGTGCTGTGGCTGACATCCTTGTCTATGTCAGATATGAGGATGAGGAACAAGATGGGAGCAAGTACTGTGCCTTGTGGAACAGAGCTTTTCACCGTAGCTGCCTCAGACTTTACTCTGTTGACTACTACTCTCTGTGTTCTGTTTTGTGAGGAAATATAGATCCATCAACCGACTTTTTCCCCTTATTCCTTTAACACGCATTTGTGCGCTATTACGCCATGGTCACACTTGTCGAAGGCTTTTGCAAAGTCTGTATATATTACATCTGCATTTCTTTTTGTCTTCTAGTGCATCTAGGACCTTGTCGTAGTGATCCAATAGTCGAGACAGACAGGAGCGACCTGTTCTAAACCATGTTTGCCCAGGGTTGTGTAATTGATGGGTTTCTAGATGGGTGGTGATCTTGCTTCTTAGGACCCTTTCAAAGATTTTTATGATATGGGATGTTAGTGCTATGGTCTGTAGTTCTTTGCTGTTGCTTTACTGCCCCCTTTGTGGAGTGGGGCTATGTCTGTTGTTTTTAGTAACTGTGGGACGACCCCCGTGTCCATGCTCCCTCTCCATAGGATGGTAAAAGCTCGTGATAGGGGCTTCTTGCAGTTCTTGATGAACACAGAGTTCCATGAGTCTGGCCCTGGGGCAGAGTGCATGGGCATGTCATTTATCGCCTGTTCGAAGTCATTTGGCGTCAGGATAACATCAGATAGGCTTGTGTTAACCAAATTCTGTGGCTCTCTCATAAAAAATTCATTTTGATCTTCGACTCTCCGTCTGGTTAGCGGCTTGCTAAAAACTGAGTCATATTGGAACTTGAGTAGCTCACTCATTTCCTTGCTGTCATCTGTGTAGGACCCATCTTGTTTAACCCTTTGACTGTTTCAGGCCCCTCTCTGAAACTGTCATTCTATGTCGCCAAATATTCAAAAAAAAAAAAAAAAACGAAAAAAAATTTTCTTATGAAAATGTTAGGAATATTTTTCTGAATGTTTTAAGCCTAAAAAAATTTTTTTGCCATCAGTACTTACCGAGATATGGAGCCACAAAGTTTGCAGAAAGTGACGTGCGTACGGCAACAGCAGCGACTGCCGCCCACCCGGTATTCTTTTATTTACTCTAATTCAAAGGTTTCTTGCATTTTTCAATATTTTTCTGTTCCAGGTAACTTATGTGGCCTGTGAGACCAATGTAAGGTGCATTGTTCAAATATACACTCATTATTTACAACACAATAACAGAACAAACTATCACTATTTGTGTATACACTTTGTTTACACAAACAAACAATACAAAACAATGTTTATTACTATTGTTCCATAATATATATACATATGTACAGTCACTAAACACGTTCCTAGAACTGCTGCGCTTGTGGAACTCTTTGAAACATGGGTTATATGCAGAGGGGCACTTGACACTCCTCACACATAAAACGAGTGTCTCTGCGTGTTTGTGGGCATTTTGTGGTATGTGTACATACATAACACCTCTTCTGAGCATTTTTTCTTGGCAGTAGTAGGAGGCCAGTTGCATGGGGTAGTGATCACCAGGCCTGAAACGAGATGACGTGTGTTGGTAATTTCGTGGGTGCTGGTCTATTGCAGGTGTTGCTCCTTGGTACTTTGCAATTATTTGTCTGATTACTGACAAGCAAAATTCACCATATTTTGGTGTTTTGTTGGTCTTCAACTTGTATATGTTATAAGCATTTAGCATAGAGATATCAACAAGATGGAAAAAAAGTTTTATATACCACTTATAACTCTTGCATACACAGTCTGCAAACCCAATCTGCATGTCACATTTGTCCACTAAGTGCATATTGAGGTTGTAGTCCATGACAGCTGCAGGCTTTAGAATGGGTTCATTGGTCTCTCTGTTGTGCCTGCCACTGTGTACCATTTCGTTTCGGTGAACTGATGTCAACAATGTGACATCACGTTTGTCATGCCACCGAAATGCCATAATGTCATTGGCAGCAAAGGCTTGCACCTCACCTCTGCGAGTGCCAGCGTCAAACCTTGGCATGTTTACTATTACGACGCACTGTGCCACACACGTCTGTCAAGTTCACTCGCAAGAAATCACTGAGTAACGGGCTTGTGTACCAGTTATCAGTAAATAACATATGCCCCTTACCAAGATATGGTTCCATCATTGTTCGAACCACATCACCAGAGATACCCAATAACTTCATGGTATCTCTCGAAGTATTACTGCCAGTGTACACAATAATATCCAAAACTAGACCACTTCTGCAATCACACAGTACGAATAGCTTTATACCAAAGCGTTTCCTCTTGCTTGGTATATATTGCTTGAATGAGAGTCTTCCTTTGAATAAAATCAAGGACTCATCAATAACAAGCTTCCTGAAGGGATAAAAATACATGCAGCACTTTTGTTTCAGGTACATAAACACATTTCTTATCTTATATAACCTGTCGCTTCTGTCAGGCCTGGTTTTGTCTGAAAAGTGTAACATACGTAACAGTATCAGGAAACGATCGACACCTATAATGTTGCCCAGT